TGGGTAGGAAGGCAGGTAAATATTTAGGATGTGTGTGTCTATGCTTCTTAGAGAATTTTTGCACCTTTCAGTTTCTTGAGAAAGGACCATTTCCTAAAACTTAACCTACCCTGTGTTGGTACACTTAATTCTCCAGAAAGAAGTGGGAAAAGGTCTGAATTTAGAGTCAGGATTCATGGGTTTGAGTTGTGACACTTAACATCTTTGTATCTCACATATAAAATGAAACTTGTATCTGTCCCAAATCAGGAATATGCTAGTTAAAGAGAGCAAATTCGATCATGGATACCAAGGTGCTTTGCAGCAGATAAAACATTCTAACATTTGCAAGGATGCTAATAAAAAAAAAATGCCAGTTTCTACATCCAAGGAACTCATAATCTAGCTGGAGAGAGAAAAGGGGTCATCTGAAATAACAGTAAAATAATTATAGAGCAGTATATAACAGAAGTAACCTATGAGGTAAAGGCTATAAGTGCTGTGGGACTTTGTAGTAAGGGCAGATTGTTGTTATTTGGGGTGATCAGTTATGGTTTCACAGACAAGATAGATTCTTTCAAGTCTCGTAAATTGTAAATATTTAGGCTGGATGACGGGAGGGAAAGCAGCAACATGGATTTAAGCAGGAATGGGATTGGAGTGAGTTAGGGCATAGCTGACCAACAGCAGCGGGCAGCCAGCAGGCCCCCGGGCTGTACCCATGTGGGAAACTACAGGACAGCTTAAGTCAGATGTCCTTGGAAGCTAAGCCGGTTTCAGCTTATCATTGTGTAGGAGAAATAATCATTGTGATGCTTTTGCCTTTTTCATATAATTCGTGGAAAGAATAGTTGTCCCATAACTCAGACGTTATCCTTTAAGTAATGAATAGAGAACTTACCCAAACAAACAGAACCAAAGCTGACAAGTCTAGACTAGAAAGTGTCTTTTTCCTGCACCTCTCTTGGTTATGCTTCCAATGTCCTCATGTTAAATTTTCATACGTTTGTCCCCTTGTGTAAACCCTAGTCGCCTGTTATTTCAAGTGGAATCCTAAGCCTGAATAAAGTTGGGGAGGTTATCTAGACCAGCATCCTGCTTTTGTCAGGAATGGAGTTTAAACTCTGCTTGGATAAGAAGCTATCTCCTTTCAAAAGACTATATTGGACTATGATAGAATAGCTGGTATTGAAGTAACCCTCTTGCCAAAAACAGAACTATAACAGCTTATTACAATAGATAAAACAACAGTTTAGAGGCATTGAAGAGCAACCAATACAGTCAGTACTTGAGGGACTGTGATTCCTGAGAAAAAGGAAGTGCACTGAGGTGAGCGGCATATTCACTCGAGTTTTTTCCCTGAGGGAAAAAAGATGTTCTAATTCACAAGAAAGGAATGGAGTCATAGCAGAAAGCAGCAGAAGCCACAGGGCTGAGAGGTTGGAGTTAGGGGCTATGAAAGTATTTGGGATTTAAAGGACAGAATCCCAGGAAAAAGGCGACCACAGGGAAGTAAGCAAAAAAAACGTGCATGCAGTCTTCCATTAGTGTTTGCCAACTTCCAAGGTGCACGTGATCGGAGCAAGACTAAGAATCCCTGCAGAAAGCAGCAGCTGGGCGCCTAACAAGCCATGTAAACCTTTCAGCAACCATATATAGTGTCAGTGAGATAAAGGTTGTGTTCAAGGGTTGCCAAGATGGAGGGGTCCTGGTAAATAACCCAGGCTTTCACTGAAGGCTCCGAAGGGCTCCATCTTAAGAGTAAGGGAAACCTGAAAAAAGTTGGCCCTAACAAAACTTAAAACCAACCACACTAAAGTGTTCTGACTGCGCTGGCCAAGAATATATTACACTCCTGGAGGCAGATAGTCTGGACCATCCAGAACCTGTACAGTTTTTCATACAGAATGTCTGGCATCAAATGAAAAATTAAAAGGGAAGCTGGACATTGAAAGCAAATGCCCAAAATGAAGAGAAAAAACAGATAGTAGAAAGAGACCTACAGGTGATTCAGACATCGGAATTCCATCAGTCAGGAACTGTGTTCAGTAAAATAGAAGAAGGGAAATTGCAATAAAGATATGAAGTCTATTTTTTTTAAAAGGCAAATGGAAATTTTGGAACTAAAAATATAAGAACTGAAGTTAGGAATTCAACACATGGGTTTAATGGCAGTTTAGACATACAAAGAAGGAAGAGAAGACTATTGGACCATGGAGAGAATTGGTAGAAAATACCCAGACTGGAGCACAGAGAGGAAAAATACAGAAAAGACAATAAGAGACATATGGGACACAGTGAAAACATTCCATATATGTGTATTTAGAGTCCTAGAAGAAGAGAAGTGTGACAGAACCAATATTTAGAAAAATATTGGCTGAGAATTTTCTAAAAACAGTGAAAGACATGAAATCACAGATTGAAGAAACTCTGCACTCCTTAGTGGGATAAATGCAAAGAACCATACCTAGGCACATCATGTTAAACATCTGTAAGCCAAGACAGAGAAAGCTTAAATGAAGTCAGAAACAAAAGACACGTTATCTTCAAAGGAGCACCAGTAAGGCTGGCAGCTGATTTATTAGCAAAAATTGGATGAAGCCAAAAGATAATGAAATTGTATCTTGAATGGGCTGGGAAAAGATGGCTAGCCTAGAATTCTTTACCTAGCAAATATATTCTTCCAAAATGAATGTGGGGAAGAAAGAAACTTCCAACCAAATAAAAATGGAGAATTTGCTATCAGCTGACCTGCACCAAAAACAAGTTCTTTAAGCAGCTGGAAGATAATTTGAGATGGAAGCTCAGATATGAATGAAGAAATGAAGAATACCAGAAAGGGAAACCAGGAAAGGAAATGTAAATGAAAATTTACTTTTAAGATCAATAATAGTGATGTCTTGTGGGATGTAAAATATGTAGAAGGAAAACATTTGGCACTAACAACACAACAAATGGGAGAAGATAAAGAGAGGTTCTTATACTGTTTGGTAAGTTGTAAAATTACTAATTTGAAGTATAATATCACAAATTAATGATGCTTGAATTGTTAGGATAGCTACTAAAAGAACAACAGAAGACTAAAAAACCAGTAAGCTAGTGAAGAAGAAAAACATGGGATAATAACAAAATTCGTTTGATCAGTTTTAAAGGCAAGAAAGGGGAAATAAAGAAACAGAACAAATGAAACAAGTCGAATGATCATATACTTAAACTCAGCCGTATCAATAATCGCATCAGTTGTTAATGGGACTCTATAATTGGAAGCAAGAGATTTTTGGATGGAATAAAATATTAAAATCCACTTGTATTCTTTTTGCAAGAGACGATCTTGAGACAAGCTTTGAGGACACAAATTTGAAAGTAAAAGTGTGGAAATAAATAAACACACACATGCATACATATATGTACATGCACACACAGGCAGAAATCAGTAAGGATATAGAATATTTAAACAGCACTAATAATCTACTTACTCTGCCTGACAATTATAAAACATTACGCTTATCAACTGCAGAATACACTTTTTTTAAAGACACATAGATTATTTACAAGAATAAACAATGTGTTGGGCCCTAAGTCAAATTTAAATAAATTGCAAAGTATTGAAATAACACGTATGTTCTCTGACCACATTTGTGCAAAGTACAGATCACTAACACATAAATAGAAATTCCCCAAATGTTTAAAAATAGTATACTTCAAAAATGACCCATGAGTCCAAGAAGATATCACAATGCAAATTAGACAATTTTTTACCTAATTTATAATGAAAATATATAAATGTGTGGGATACACTTAAAATAGTGCATAGAGGTAAATTTATAGCTTTAAATGCATATATTTGAAACAAAGATTGAAAACAGTTATCTAAACTCAATCTCAAGAAACTAAAAGCAAGATGAATTAAAGTCTCTCAAATAGAAGGAAATAATGAAAACAATAGTAGTTAGGAACAAAATAGAGAAAAAAAATATGGTAAAATGAAAACCAAAAAATGATTTTTTGAAAAGAGTAGTAAAATTGATGAACCTCTAGTAAGACTGATCAAGTACAAAGAGAAAAGCAGATTTATCAATACCAGAAATGAAAAGTGTTATTACTACAGATTCTGTAGGCATTAAACAAACCTGAACACACAGTTTTAGTCTAATAAACGTAACAATTTATATTCCTTGAAAAATACTACATACAAAACTGACACACACTCAAAGATATATGCATAATCCTGTGTCTGTGATTTAAAACTTTAATCCATGGTTAAAAACTTGCACACACCAGGGAGCACCTAGGCCAGATGGCTTTTTTGATGAATTCTTCCAAACCTTTCAAGGAAGAAATAATGCCAATCTTGCATAAAATTTCTCAAGGACTAGAAAAAGAAGGAACACTTTTCAGCTCATTTCATGAGGCCAGCATAACCTTGGTACTAAAACCTGATTTAAATATTAGTGTTGAGCAAAAGAAGTCAGAAAAGAGTACAAATTGTTTGATTCCGTTTCTGTGAAATTCAGTAGTGGGCACAATAGAGAAAGCAGGATAATGATTTACGCTTAGAGGGGTGAGATGCTGACTGGGAAGCAGCATAAGGGAATCTTCTAGGGTGCTGGAATGTTCTATGTCTTTATCTTGGCAGTAGTTATAAGCATATGTACGTTCGTAAAAATTCATTGAGCTGTACGTACAGTTAAGATTTGTACAGTTTATTGCATGCATGTTATATTTTAAAATAAGGCTATAAAACTCACTCTGGTGTAACCATGATATTTTCACCATCACATAATTTCTCTTGTATCTAAATTGAATCCAGTGTGCACTCCCCTTGCTCACGTTCTGTTTTGACTGCAGTTGGTAAATGCACACTTGGATGGAGCTGGCGTGAACAGCAGGGAATAGGTGCCGTAGGCTCCCCACTTTCTGGGAATAAAGGAGTTGCCCAGACCCAGGGATGGGTGTGATAGAGCGTCTAGCTCTACTCCATCTCACTTGCTCGCTCACTTAATCCAGTGTTTTATTTACAGGCGCGGTGGTTCTGGGAAGCATACTTCCAGTCAATTAAAGCCATTGCCTTGGCCACCCTGCAGATTATCAATGACCGGATCTACCCATACGCTGCCATCTCCTATGAAGAATGGAATGACCCTCCGACTGTGGTAAGTGAATTCCAGTGCCAGCCAGGCCAGGTATGGTCCAGCTGTCAGGATGAGACAAAGGAACATGTACTGAATTTGTAAAGGGTATTAGACTTCTAGCTTTCTAAGGTGAAAGTGTGCTGTTATACTTGGGGTCTGATAAAGCCAGCTTAATTTTGAAATGATGACAAAAGCAAAAAATACGGAAGCTGTAGCTTCTTCTAGTTTGTTTTAAAGGTGCTTCGGAGGACAGTATGTTTATTTATTGCAGAGTTAAATGGGGAGGCTTGGGCCTTGGAAATCAAAGACTTCCTGATGATTTTTGCAGCGGTAGTGCTTAGAACTCTTGAAAAGATTCTCTCAGCTACTTAATACTAATAGTTTCTATTTTAAGTGCTTAGGATTATTTCAATAAACGTTTCCAACACCCTGTGAGGAAAATAATCAGCAAAAGTGATCTAGAGGCATTATGGATTGCCAGTCACTTGCTCAACTGTGGCTGAGGCCCCTGGGTGTTTCCATCAGAGAGAGAGGGAGGTCAGAAACTGCTTTCAGGGCTTCTTTCCTGCTTGAGGGAGTCACAGGCACTTGTGACATTGTAGGAGTTGTGGAGGGGCCCCCCCTCTCACTGAAAATGCCAAGCTCTGGGGCTGGCAGTTATCACTTCCTTTGGAGCACACCTGGCTGTGTAGCTCACAGACCTCACAGCTTTCACCTAAGATAACTAGACTCCATTCTTCAGTCCAGTCCTCGCTCGCTCTCTGGCCAGCCTTCCTTGTCTCCTGATTCTACCTCCTCTCAGTAGTGCTGCTTTCTGACACCTGGTTACCTTCCTATAGGGACTGACTCTCCCTCCACCCTTTATGAAGCAGTTTCTCTGTATCAGACACTCCACCAGGTGCTGAGAATGTAGGAAAAGAAGCCAGTCCCCTGCCCTCAAAGAAACTCTCCAGTAACTTGGGAAGCCAGCAAGTCAGGCAGCAATTGTATGAGAAGTGCTATAATGTGGTGGTAACAGAGTGCCATGGGAGCGCGCGCGGGGGGGG